GGACACACAGGTACAAAATATAATCGAAAATGATTAAAAAAGCAACTCATGTGTCCTCCAATACATAGAAGTAGGGATAGAAATTTGAACATATGACGTTCTCGATCCTTGTTTTGAACTGTCCCATACCGTACAATTTCGATTGAGGTCCTTTGATAGGTTTTGTACCTTTTTAGGAAAGTTTCCGAGTTTCGGTGTCTCTTTTATTCGTATAGAGTCTTGAGGTTAGCACCATCGCGTTGTCGTCGAAAACTTTAAGTCAATGTGATTATATAGGCGACAAACTTCTTAAAATTCGCGTTTGTCTCCCATTGTAAAACTATTTCGAAACTCATTAAGTAAATGACGAAAAACTATTCCGCAAGCCGTACCCTAAACCCAGTTTGGTTTGTCTAAAACTCCAAACCCGTCGATAGCGGTTTAAGTTTTAATTCGAATCGTGTCTCGCATAATGCGGGTATTGTATAACATGGCGTTCCCGGAAATTCCTTCCCCAAACATTTCCACAAATACGTAAAAGTTTTAAGGCCGGCTCTACCAATCACAGTTCAACTTCGAGTTAAAGCATATTTGGTCAAGTTTTTTCTCGCGTGTCGCCACACCTATTCTTCCTTTGCCTGCCTTAGTCGTTAAAATAATGGAAATTATTTTCGAGTTTCTGAAATGACGACCAGAAAGCAAATTTTTAAAACCTGGTTTCTGTAAAATTTTCCTATCCAAATAATAGTTAGGGTGAGTACTTTTTCAAAACTTCTTCTAAATCAAAAGTGGTGGGGAATGTTCAAACATTTTCATAAATAAATGTCTATAATTCCAGTAAAGGTTAAAAAGGTCTTTGATTAAGCTATAATTTGTGATATGGAATATGAATAAACGGGTTAAAAATATCGAATTCTCCCTAATTTACCAAATAAGACTTTAACTTAGTATTTAGGATTTCAAATGATATTTAAGATCGAAATAATGTTTCCAAATTTATTTTTATTACTATTAAAATGGCTTCGAAGGGCACATATTTACCCAGTAGATTATTTTATTACTACCCTTTGACATCCTTATCGGTTTTGAATTATTTAGTTTCATCATTTACTGTTTCAATAAAAATTGGGATTAGTCACCTAACTAGCACTAACCAACCAACCAAAACTAATCAACTGTTGAAGAGTAACTAACTAATATTATTTATTATTGACTTATATTAGTAGTAAAATGTGAATTAATATGATCAGTATTTATTCGTTGTACTTATTGATAACGACTAATGCAAGTAAAAGAAGATGTAGACGTAAAGAATGTATCCAGAAAATACGTAAATTTCATGACTATTCAGTCACGTGGTAAAGTGGATCAGAATTTAACAAAATAAAAAACTGAGTGTCACCAGCAAGCACGCTGAATAAAATAAAAGTTAAAATAAGCCATTTAAAAAATTATTTAACACAATGTTTTTATTCGCATGAAATTGACACACTACTTGCACATAAAAATACGTTTTATTAAAATGCAAGTAGTAGTATTGTAGTGCCAATTCTAAGCCACTATTGGCGGAAAATATTGAAATCTCGTGACTCTTTTCATTTGGTAAAACGTAATTATAAAAAGTATACAAAAAATGTAGAACAATTTCTGTACCCTTGTTACCTTAATACTATACCGCCGATCAAAGATTATTACCTGTCTGACAAAAATTAAATAAAATACATTGTAAATAATATTCAATTTACAAAACTTCTGGATTTCTCATCTGTCGGTTATTGTTGAATCGAATTTGCTGACGTTTCGCCAATCATACTGTTGGCTTCTTCAGAGTTTAACTGAAACTGCTTATATGTTTGGGGCGAAGCTGGAGGAGGGGAATCAACATTGTCTCGGATGACTGATTCCAATATTGGTGACAGGTAAAGACCTGAGTCGCGGTGATAAGTTTGTTTGTCTCAGTCTTGCTCTCTTATGTCTAGTTGATGTTTTTCGTCCGGTCTCTCTAATGCATTCTTTGCCGCATATGCATGGAATGCATGAAGATATTGAGAGATTTTTTTTATATTTCTTAAGTATTGATATACAGTCGAACTGCCATTTGACACATGAAAATTTCGAGTTATCAAGACTTCGAGTTATCAATAAAAACTCTCAATGCATGTACTTTTTTGTGAATGAACATTTATTCGTTCATTTTTAAAAATGGGTTATACGTTACATAAATGCCCTAATATCTATGATTTTAAAACAAAAAACGAAAATTATGAAATAGTAGTACATATGTGTGTATGTATTTACATAATATATGTACATACAAATGTATTGTATATCTACCCAGTATATATAAACAAAGTATGTATGCACATAAACATACATATGTATGTACATATTAAAGTTTACTCTTTCATTGGAAAAAAGTCAGTTGTTTGTGACTGACGACCGGATTTCTTATTTTGGTTTTCAACAAAAGCTTCAATTTTATTTAAACTGGTGTTCAAATAGGAACGCAAGACAATCAACGAAATTTCAAGCAATTCATTTGAAGGTGGTTGCTGAGAATCATCTTCCAATTCCTCCTCCATCGTGTCACTTTCGCAGTCATCTTCGATGTTTAACTGTACCGGTTCGGATCTGCAGGACTCGATAATATCTTCATCAGTAGGAAACTCTGAAGTAACAATATCCTCATCCGCACGTATAAAATCGTTGATGGTGCTACCTTTTGCTTTACCTCTAATGTTTGTCCAAGCTTTAAACTCGATTTCTATTTGGATTTCGTCTTCACTCTTTTCTTTCAGGCGTTCATTTAGGAAAATCAAGGGAATCTCATCTTCTTCTTCCCATTCAGAATACTGACCAAAACTGGCTTTTTTAAAACAATTTTGTGGAAAATAACGTCGATATTCCATGCGATAGTTACGTCGTCAACACAAATCCATTAATGTAATGTTATTGTTTTTGTTTTCTTCGAAACGTTCCATTGCGGTGATGACTGAATGTTTATTTTTCAAAATTGGAGACACTGTACTTGCCGAAATCCCATACTTCACAGCTACATCTTTATTTTTTGAGCCACTTTCCACTTCTTTTATAACCTTGAATTTTTGATCAACTGACAAAGTACGTTTTTATGACATATCAACAAATGGAAAAATCCAAAAATGTCTTTAATATAATGTGTAAATTGAATAGGGACCGTATTTTTCACTTAGTATTAACTAGTAAGTCATACAAGTGAACTTAGCAAGCACAGAAACTGAACTGCTCGCATAGATACGTTAAAAAGAGAAAATTCGACTTATCGAAATTGGCACCAAATGTTTCGTGCGAGTTATCAAGATATTCGAGTTTCTTTTCTTACTTTTGACGCTATTGCCAACCAATTTGGTTCGACTTATCAAAAATTCGAGTTATCCAAGTTCGACTTAGCGAAGTTCGACTATATTTTGAATGTAAGGAAGGACAACAGTGGCAAGTGTGGGAATGTTTTCGGACTCTGTGGTGAAGTGTATTTTGTGATGGAACGCTTAATATCTCAAATGTGGAAGTAACAGCAGATGTGAGGTGTTTTAATTCTGGGTTCAGCGACTCTAGCTGAGATAGTCTTACTTCTTTGTAGACAAGAGAGTTGATAACGGACATTAACGTATCGGTATGTGTGCGTAGGTTTTCCGTAAACACAATTTTTATTATTATTAGTTTCTAATTCAATGGTAAAACTTAAGTTAGGGTATAATTATTTAATTAGTGTAAGAGTTGAAATGGCTAATAAAATCTAGTAGGGATTCTTGGCCATGAGGCCAAATAACTAAAGTATCATTAGCGTACCATTTCCATAATTTTGATTTTAGCTCAACAACAACCGATGCAGGAAGAATCCAGATGTTTTGTAAATAGTATTACAGTAGCATGTGAAAGTTTATTTGAAAAATATAAATAATATAAATTATATTTTAAGTTGATTTCAATTCAAGTTGCTAAAGGCCTATTAAAGATGTTAGTATTATTATAAACTTTTTATTTGAAAAGCAGCATATTATTCTCTGAAAGTATTATTATTATTCTTTTTCACGTAGTTCAATTGAGGATCAGCGTTTAAGTCAGATTTCAGGAAAACATCTACATCTACCGTATCCTTTTATTTTCATAGTACGATAAACCCAAACCCTTCGGATGTTTTTCCAGCCGGATTTTCCGATCGAAGCGTAAAAGCACTCGATTTTTTCGTCGCTTTTTGATCCGCAATTGGAATCTGAATGTGACGTTTCGCCAATTAAACTACTATTTTCCGCTAGATAAACAACAACTTGTTCACTATCGAATGACAATGACAATTCGAAACGATTGTTGTGTCAGTCAATCGCTGAATATTTTTTTCCCGCTCTTCGCAACCCTCGCATAGACGGGAAGGCTGACAAATAACTATCGGATGATGATCGAGCACTCTTGACGCAGTCAATAAAAAAATAAAACTGAAAATCGGCACACCTTTTTAAAATTGTATTTGTTCAAAGAAATATAGGACTTTTTTAGTAAGTGATTTTAATTTTTCGAGTGTGTTGTAACTGTTTTTTTTTTAACTAAAATAGAGAAAAACAATAACAAGCTTACTAGACCATAATTTCAATTCAACTAGTCTTTAAAAAAAGGTTTTGTTTGTTGAAAAATTTCCTACTTTCCTATTTCAATGACTCATATCTGATCAATAATTAATTCTTTCTTCTGAAACAGTTAATAATTTTTCCCTAAGTAATGTTTCTTTGTTTTTATTTTCTACCAACAGGTGCTAGTTAAATCATTGCTTAATAATAAACGCTTCATTAGATTTTAATGACGGATCCGAATTGAATATACCCGAACGCATCACCGACATAAATGAAGTGATCCGCATCGGTGAACCGAACCGGCACAGATTGAAACCCGTTTGCCAACTGTCTCTCTCGTGCCACATCAATTAGTTCACCCGACTTCACGTCATTTACGATCTGCTATACTAATAGGGTGCAAAGATCAAAACTCACACAGCATCCTGATGATGCTTTTGTTCGACTGGAGTCTGCGGTTTTTCCGATGCACCGATCCTTTTAGCTTATTACCGAAGTTGGTCTCTGCTGTACGCCATATAGTGATGCCCATGTTGGTGTACTGAACCATTATGATCAGCAGTGGTATAACGAAGAAGATAATCGTGCTCATCTCCGTGAGTGGGATGTTAGCAGGCTGCGAGGTCATGGCGCACATCGCCGACTCCTGGAATTAGAATTAGAAATGAGGATTATGAAAAATCGATATTATCGAATTCGCCGGCCTAAACAAGTCGATGTGATATGAAAATTCGATAATGAATATTATACGACTCATATCCGAATAGTCGAATATAAAAGCGTTTCTATGATACGAAAATTCGATACGTATCTTTTTATCTGCCAGGGTTTAACAAAAAATCAATGGAAAATGAGTTTATTGGATATAAACAAATCGATACGAAAGAAATGAAACTAACAAAAATTTCCGATTTTTAACAAGTCGATATCGATATTACGCTCTATCATATTTTAAGGTAACATCGATCGGAAATGCACCAACAGCATACACAAAAGCGATACGAATGAAATGAAATGGAAATCCCTCAAGTTTTCGACTAATGTCGCCTGTTAACAAGTCGATGCTATATAAAAAGTCGATATAAATCTATACACATAAAATAGATCAAAAATGCGCCGATTATATATAAAAAAATCGATACCAATGAGACAAAAAGGATAAAAATTATATTCGTCGAATTTTCAGTTAATGTCGATACGATACAAATCTTATCCGTTAAGTTCCTAAAATAAAGTCGGTCATAAACCCTACGTATCTTATTATGCGCCCTGTTTTAAAATAAAAGAAAAAAGATATTAAAATTTCGTACGCTTCTTCGGTTAGTGTTGCTTTTTAACAAGTAGAGTTGTTATGAAAATTCGAGTACTGATCCGCTACGTTCGTGGGTAATGTCGATACACCCTAATTCGCTTCGTTTGCGAGTTAGGCAGTATTTTTTTGAGAAAACTGGTTTAATTTTTACTTAAATAATCTACCTCGAAAGTAGGTTTTTGAGTTGAGTTTGAATCAACTGGTATAAAAGTGTCGCGAAATGTTCAAATGTAAAAAAAACTGTCGGGCAAAACTACTGCCAATACCGATCTAGCTTATTTAATTGGCGTCGCCGAGCCGCTTAGTTTGAAAGTTAAAATGGCGCGCGAGGAGCGAGGCTAACAATTTCGCGCGTTCTCCTTCCATTCTGGATTGCGGAATTAAAAAGTTCAACTCGTTAAAAAACTTTTTTTTCCGTTTGGCTCGAAGTTGGGAAGCGTTAAGGCGTGCTAAATTCCCCGCGTTGCAAACGACAATCGAATGTTAATGACAAATAAACCTTTTGACGGACCCATAGCGAACAGTAATGCGTAAAACTTTCGCAATAAAGGTCTCAGCCATGTTGTTTACCGGAAGCGGTAAGCGAAACCGAAAGGATGTCCGCGTCAGGTGCCGTCGCTACACCAAGTAGCGTGTTATACCTCATCGTTACTAAGCCCCCTCATGGAACGCTGTCAAAGCGTTGGCCGTTAAAACGTTTGTAGTTTCTCACCCTACGATGCAAAATGTACACGAGTAGGAACGTTCCGTATAGCGGTTTGGAAGAAAAATATGCGCCAAAAATAGCGCTCGCAATGGCAAGAAAATCTGAACGTGTGTGAACGGATTTGTGACACTTCAATTAAACTGCATTAGATTTCGACGTACTTAACAATGGAAACGAAAAACAGTTTAGTTTATCAATCGCTGCTGTAGTTTTAATAAACACGTTGTAGTTTGTGTGTTACCTTCTTATTCAAAATCTGTAGGAATGATAATATTTTCAAATTTAAGGATTTTGTCTACTGTCTGCGCGAGATATTTTTATTTTTTTTTTTATTTTTCAAAGTTAAATATGACTTTGGAGTTTATAAACGGTACATGCAGAAAAAATTCTCATTCATTCTGCGAAAGTTACTTTACTAGACGGAACAGCCGCTTCGCGTACAGTACAGTACTTCCGATGCAAATCTTTTAGAATTAGAGTTTTTAGAGGAGCTTTTAGATATAAAATTCTTAGAGGAGTTTCTGAAGGTAGAGCTTTTAGATTAGAGATAGAGCTGTTGGGTGAGTTTTCAGTTTTAGGTTGGCTTTCGTTTTTTACAGAAAAATTTGCTTTAAAAAAAATCGTCAATCGTACCTAAATCGCAGTGAAATATAAGGTACTGTGCGGAGATGAGAAGGTACTAGGGAATAGGTAACTTATAATCTACCAGGCATTTTTTTTTCAAAACAAAGAAATCTGTATTCTTAAATACCCAACAAGTTCTAATTCTGGTAGAACGATTCTAGAGCGGTTGGCAATGCAAATTTTGGTTTCCGAAACTGACTTATTTTATTCTAAGGTCCTGTATAATAACAACTTTAGAGAGAAATTATGCAGCAATTAGCAATAGAACTAACAAAATCAATATTGTTATGACAAATATGGTTAATTTTAGATTTGAGAGAAGAAGACAAGAATTAATTGACAATTTGGTCAGGAATTTCTATTTTCTATTACTGACCGATTAGTATATAAATTGTGGTGTTTTTTCTGGCATTTATTCCACAGCTGGTTTTAAAAGTGTTAAAACGATAACAAAACAAAGTTAGTGGTGTCATAAACATCATGCCAAAGTATGTCATTAACATGAAAGTTAGACCTCATTTTGGTTAGTTTTGGTAAGTTGTCCTTACATCCAAGGATATCGGTGATGCTTAAAATGTAGTAACATGCAGTTGCCTTTTTTGGACGTTCTCTAACCATGCTATTCAATATTAAATGGCAAGTTTTAATTTTCTAGTCCATAGACTTGTCACATTTCCTTTAAATCAAGAAAGGTTTGAGGTGGAAGGAGCCTTATAAAAAAGGTGGCTAGAATCAATGGCTATGGAGATAGTTTTATCGATAAGTTAATTAGGAAGTTTACATTTAAAAACAAACTTAAAAGATTAACGACTTTTCAAGCTGATAAGGAAAATTTAAAAGTAGTCTCAATTCCTTTCTCTCCCCAATATACAAGTGGACTTGATAGAGTCTTCAGGGCCGCAGGTCTTCGAAGTGTCTATCAGTCCGGATCAAAATTAAAAAATCTCTTGGGTAATCCCAAGGATAAACTAGATACCTTTGAAACGTCGGGAATTTATGAAATATGTTGTAACGATTGTAACAAGTCATATGTAGGGCAAACCAAAAGATCAATTAATGTTAGATTTAAGGAACATTTAGCTCATTTAAAATTTGGTAGATTAGAAAAATCAAGTGTAGCCGAACATATGTTCAACAATAATCATACGGTAGATATAAGTAATTTAAAATTAGTTAAACATGTAAATAATTGTAGAAAATTAGATGCCTACGAAAGCTTAGAAATTGTTAAGAGAGGGAATAAGGCACTGAACAAGGACAGAGGTCCAATCCCATATAGCCCATAATACGCGCTGATTGGTTGCGTGAACAGTGCGTTATTCCCTCTCCCACTTCCCGACGTGTATATATAGAGAAAACATTTGTTCTATTAAGTTTAGTTTTAATCTTCTCCTGAAGATGCCAACCTGGTTGGCGAAACGCGCGTCGAGTACGTCGCGTTTTTGTGTATGAGTTTTCAGGTTCGGTTATTATGAATCTCACGTAGGCTGCGAAAAGTTTGACGCCCAAAAAGAAGGTCCCCCGGTCCCCCTTCGTGTCGAAAATTTTATTGTGAAACTTTTGGGACTCGCGTATTATAGCCGACGTCTCGCATAAAAAAGCAAACAGTGTGGAAAAACTTCGGCGATCAGTTCAAATAGCGTCCATCTACTAAAAAATGTTAAACAAGCATTCGACCCCCCAAATTCGAATTTTTCAAATACAATCACGTACTTCTGTTTGCGTTAATATCTATAAGAATAAATTTGACCGTCTCAGACAGAAGACAAACTGAAGCAAAAATTTGCGTCAACAATGCGGCACGACGTTGCCGGTTTTGATTCGGTTGCACAATCTGACAACGCTGCGAAAACTTGCACCAGACCGGACACCTGAGAATATTAGCAAGATAGGACAAGCTAATATACACGGTGAATACGGCTATCAAAGCTTACTATCGAACTCTTAAGCAAAGTTGAAAGATTGATAAAGATATACCTGCTATAACTGAGTTGCACAGGGTGAATCAAAAAATATTTTACATATAATTTTAAATGGGAGACCTTATATTTTAGTGCAAGGATGTTCTCTTTTTGAACTGAGGTGGCTTTTACTTGATGAAAATCCATTTATCAAAATAAATAAGAACTAAAAGTTCAGATTTTCACGAAATTATATATTATGACATGACAATTGTTTCGACAACACGGTGTTGTCGAAACAATGTGAAAAACAAACAAAAAACAAATGTGAAAATCCATTAATTGTTTTCCCGCAATTCCGGCCGTTTTCTTCGTACTGCCTCTCACAAACGGCGCATATCTTCATAATACTCTTTACTGGCCGTACGACCTTGTGGATTCTTCCATTAGGATGACTGGGCTTTGGTTGCAACGTCATTACCATATACCCATGACTCGTCACCACTTAGTTTTGAGCATATCCGGATCATCATTGACGTCGTTTAATTGACCTTAAGCGATGCTCCTTCGGCGGTAATTTTGAAGGAATGTACCCCGTTTGTCACCTCCATTTCACGTGGGAAGGTAGTTACGATTGACAGGGACAGCCACTTTTCCTCCGCACACATATTTGCGGTATTCACAATAGGTGCAAATCTCATTTTTAACTTTCTTAACTTCTAATTAAGATATAGACTTAAATTTTCGACTTAATCTGCTTTTTCTGGTTGCGTTCATCCCCTTCCCCCTCTCTCCCGCTCTCTCTCTCTCTCTCTCTCTCTTTCTCTCTCTCTCTCTCTCTCTCTCTCTCTCTCTCTCTCTCTCTCTCTCTCTCTCTCTTTCTCTCTCTTTCTCTCTCTCTCTCTCTCTCTCTCTCTCTTTCTTTCTCTCTCTCTCTCTCTCTCTCTCTCTCTCTCTCTCTCTCTCTCTCTCTTTCTCTCTCTCTCTCTCTCTCTTTCTCTCTCTCTCTCTCTCTCTCACTCACTCGCCCCTTTCCTTCAAAATCATTAGATAATGGAAAATCGTTTAGAGCGCTAGTCAGAAACTTATTAAATTAATTCCGAATGAACTTGGAAGAAAGCGCGGGAGGAAAGTCCTTGTAACCACCCCCTCCCCCGCGCAGATTTATTTATATCGATCATCCCTTCACTCATTGTGTTCGTCGACTGAGAATTAATAATCGATGATTGCTCGTCTTTTGATCGAGATTGCAGACAATACATTAAAACATATTTGAAATGGAAAACCACCTCCTCCCTTTTTAGCGATATGATGTGATTGGTTTCAGTTGAGACATTTTTTGGTAAACGGACCGGTTAATTCTCTTCCTGTCGAATCTCAACTCACTACGAGCGCTTTGAATTTTCGCGGCATTCCACTTTTACGGATTTTCGTTAAGCTCCTTAAGAAAGTTTTCGTGCGTCCAATGTACATACCAGCTGTTCCGCTTATTCACCAACGGGAGAAAAATACACGAGGATTGAATGTTTTTCACTTTATCCAAAACAGTTTAATAAAAAATAACATGGACGATAGCATTACGAATAAACTAAACATTGCCTTATAGGTTAAAATATTCAAAAACTATCTTCTTCATGAACTTTTTTGTCACGAATTTCTAATATTAGTGTACCTAGTATGCGGTACTGAAACACCATGTAGATTCGGTTCCTTGTTGGATAGTGTTTTGTTGAGGTGAATACGATTTCCAGCATATATAGACTTAAGTGTATTTTTCTCGGGTATGGGTTAAAGTTGTCTCACGAGGCAGATAAATAGGCGTTCTACTCTATTCTATTTTAATTCAGGAAGCGCGACTGCTTTAAAGGTAAATTCGATAGAGGACCCTTTTAAAGTCGTTTTAAACGGAAAACCGCCAACTTCCCGCCTTTTATTTTACGTAACGGCTTTACCTCTATGAATTGCTTTGAGTGTATCGGATAGTCTAGAAAGTGGACCACCGTGCTGATAGCGAATGGGATTGCGCTGAAAAAGGACACTATCCACAGTCCCGTTATGATCCAGATTGCCCTTTGAAGTCCCGAAACTGCCCTCCGATGTAGGGGGTAGCAGATAGCGATGTAACGCTCGGTAGAGAACGCCACTATCGTCAGGACCGACACGTACGAAGCACTGCAAATAAGAAAGGAAAGTTATTGGGAATATTGAACGCAAAAGAACAAACTACCAAAATAGTTTGCTAAAAGAATGAGTTCCTGGGCATACATACAAAAGAGAAAACAACATTTCATAATTTGCTAGATAAAAGTTGGGAGATTTCGTGCTTATATAAAGGTCTTTAATAAACACGTTTATCTTTTTTTTTAAATCATTGCGTTAGTATTTATTTAACATAGTTAAGAAAAATTATTTAGTGTCAAATAGCATTGCTATTTTAATTATATCCAAATTTACCCACTTTTGAATAACGTATTTACATTTTTCAACAATGCCGGATGGAGTGCAGGAATAGAGAGAGATAGTCGGACGGACGAGTAACGACACATCTACCTTTCTTCCGAAATCGTATTTTATTTGAAAATAAATAGTTAAAAATATACGCATCAATTCGTCAAGACCACTGAGCCAATAATGATAGGGGTATTCAATTTCAATTCAATACAATTTAAAAAAAAAAGCGCAGCAAATGTATTTATTTTCGTTTTTGAGATATTTGTAGCGCGATATCTCCCTAATGGTTGGCTTTTGACCCCGGGTTTATATAGCTTTATTTTAAACAAGGAATCACCCCTTAAGTTTTTCGCATTTGTTTAGAACCACCCTGGATATCGTTTCCGTGGCTTTTGCTTGAAAGCTGAGATATTAATAAACTTAACTATGAATGAAATTATTATATTGGCTTTAAACAAAACAGTTAATGAACAAAGAAGAAACGGAATACACAGGATATATAAGGCAAGAACGTAAAAGCGACAACCCCGTGCCGAAGCAGTGACGTCACTGGCCCATAAGTTTCATACGATACATTAGCTTTTTGATGATGTTATTTTGGGCAATTAAAAAAATTTCAAGCTAATAGAGCAACACTACCATAAGTCAATGGGTAACCTAGCTATTGGTTATACTGGAAATTGTAGAATTTCTGACGTTCATTCAAAATGTTGATTTTGTTTTTAAAATGTGTCCGTCTTTACCAAGATTTGCTTAAGTAGAAAAGTAAATAAAAACGAACAAAACTATTACTAAGGAATAAAACTATTTTATGAATTTTGGCATTTCGTTTTGATATAATTATATTGTAGAAGAAGAAGAAACGTGGACAGATAAAATTGAAACTGTACCATGCAAAGACCTAATATTTGAAGTGAAGAAAAAGAGATGCGTTAAGCAAAAAGCTCATTCCGCGAAGATTTCACGTGCCTTGCTTTCTTGACGTACGGTAAACATTCATCATAATGACGCTTACATAACTTACAACGCCGCATGTTGCAGTTTTTATTTGTGTGATTTTCTAAATTTTTTCGGCAGATAAGCTTCCATTATTAATAAAAAAAAAATTTTACGGCTTTAACAGCCTTAGCCTAATCTTTTTCACTTTGCGACTGACTTGGATTTGAAATAAAAAAACTATTAAGGAACTTTGCCTTGGCTTGTCGCGATTTTTTTCCTAGTAAATGCCACCCGGACTTAACCGATATATCCAGATAAGTTTCTGCTTGCGTTCAAGCACGAACGTCCACAATCAAAATTTAAAAGAAGGCCATATCCGTTTTGTGACGTTCCTGTCGTAACAGAAAATATGGTAGTCTATTTTTGCGTATGCATGTTTTTATTTACATTTCACCGGAATTGACAGCTCGTTGCGAAAAACCCAATGCAGATGGGAGGAAGGAAAATCGAAAAACGTTCTTATATACATCATTCGGGAGTATCCGTTAATAACGATAAAGCAACACAGCGCTACTTCATGGTTCAAGTCGAGACGGACGGTTTCCATTCGGCACAAAAGGCAACATTTTGATATGTAAATAGTTCCGCCAAGAAACCAAAATAATAACTGCTTTCCGCTATAAGAGGATAGTTAAACTTCTCGGCGTAGTGAACAAAAGCTAGAAAAAAAAAATTGATACGCTTTGCCCATTTTTTAAGAAATACGTTTACGATGGCTTACGTTTCGGAGATAAGGGCGCGGAATTTGCAGAACGCCTCGCCCAAATACCACGGGTATTGGTGCCAGTACATCATCACGTCGTTTGGTAACCCTGTAACAAAAGAAAATTAACTATTAAAAAAATCCTAATTAATGGCGAATTGCAGATTTTCCCTACAGTTTCAAAAACCGGAAATATTAAAGAAGCCGTCTTGTATAATCCGGGATGGCTTCGCAGTGATATAAATGTGAGTCGAATCGTATTAGATAAAAAAGCAATTCTTGCTCATGTATATAAACGCCAATGGAGATTTTTCGTTGTTTAATTATTTTGTGTTCCAATGTAATTCTTACTGAAATCATTTACATATTGTTATTTGAGGATCAATCAGAACTTTTATTTTAATATGCCTTTTAATTTTTCTTATAAAAATACCAAAATACTGATGTATTTTTTATTTCTAAATAATACGCAAAAATATACATTATCAAGATCATATAAATACATACAATACAATACCAATGATAAAAATCAAGACAATTTTCGTTATTATATTTAAATACTTTATTTACTATAATGAAATTTGAATATTTTGTTCCTATAACAACTATTGCGTTTTTTTATTTATACAACTTAATCAGCCGAATATTTACAATACAAGGATTTGCCATTTTTAAAAATGTTTAATAATTAACACCACCATTAAATTATTAGTGGGTAGACCCAAAATTACCACCGTCAAAAACAGTCAAAGTATATCATGTAGTATATTTATTAAGTTTAGTATAAGTACAGTTAGTATAAGTATAGTTAAATTTACTTCTTACCTCCTCCCCGGATCACACCTTTAAGGGAATGTATCGATTTACCAAAAATCCGGTATATTTGGAGGTCATTTCCCTCGGGAAGGGGAAGGAAATTTCAAAAATAAATAAATACAGGTGATTAAAAATTTAAATAAACAAATTTTTGAAAGTATTTTTTTTTATAATTTTATCGTATTTCACATAACATAAAAAGTGATTTTGCATTATTAGTTCTTTCATTGTAAAAATGTAGAAATGTCACTATTTTGAGGTTTTATTACAAAAAATGTTCTTAAGTTTATAAAACCGATTTTCTAAAGAAAACTAATTAATACTATTAGTAAATAAAGGAATGAAAAGGATGATAATTACTTGCAACTTTCAGAAAAAAATTCGGAAATACAAACATCCAGTACAACATATAATATTTACATATAACATATAATAGTTACAGGTTTTAGAGATTCTGAAATAAGGTCATAACAAACCGGTAAACCCGTGCCTCAATTAACATGAACTGAAAGCTATTGTTGTTGCTTTGTTTATAAATAAATTGTATTTGTGTTGTGGGGGTTGGTAGAATTTTATTTCAAAATGTGAAACTCGTACTTTTAAAAAACGGTTTTTTATTTAATTTAACACAAGTAACACAATAATTACTAACGCAAAGCTACTTTAAGACTAATTTATACTACGATTAGCGGGCGTATTTATATAGTTAAAGCTGCTGAATAAGAATATGTCTCGTATTACTGTTTTTCATTACCATATTCCATCGTAAGTGGTCATATAATTCTAGCTCAAAACTCAACTCGGATTTTTTTTCTTGACGCGCGATGCATCAATTCACTGTTGCCCATTTTTTCAAAACTTTTCAGATCCGTACGAATATAACGAAATATCGAACGCCGTTTATTATTATAACTTGTCCTCATTCATATTAATAAGGTTTTTCTGTTGGGTGCTTCTGTTTGCAAAAGGCAACGGAAAACATGCCCGATCTGTCACGCCTGTATTTTGTGATGTGCGCAAATTTACTTATTATAATAATAGAGGCCCGTTAAAACGTTTGAAATGAGTAATAATAATATAAATTATTCAGGAAATTTAAAATCGACCGCATTGCGGTTAAAAGTTTACTTTTATAAATGCGTTTGAATTAATCCATTCAATCAATTTCATTAATTGTTCTGGAATTATTTTAAAGTTTTGTAATTGTTTTTTAATAAAAATCTTGTAAAAAATATTATTTCAGTTATTTTTAACCTATCGAAAAGGTAAAAAATATTCTTATAGATTGTTTTGGTAGAATGCAAAGCCGTATCAACCAATCAACCAATTGAACACCCTGTATTTATAGATTTTGCACGCAAATAAATGACCATTTCCTAAAATTAAATTCCTAAATGAAATAGTAGGCATTGAGCATCTTATCACAATTGAATACAGTCTCAGGAATGTGCCCTCGGGAAACCGCAAATTATTAAAAAATAACGTATATACCCCGGAATTTCTTTAAAAATTACGTTAAACTTTAGGCTAAAGGTTCTCGGCTTAAAACCAATAGCTGACAGTTCTTTGCAGATACGTTTTCCCAACGAATTTTGAAAAATAGGCGTTTTCTTTTGTATGAATCTTTCATATTTCTCAGTTTCACGCGTTCCAGTAAGCTGCAGAATTTCAACGACAACGTATAAAGCACACACAAAAGTTTTGGTTCAGAAATTATAATTCCGCAGTGTAGTAAACAGCTGCATATTTTGGTTTCATTTAAGACTCAAGAGGTCGCTTTCGAAGTACTGAATACTATTATACTTTTCTACCACCGTTAGGCGACAAAATGAGAACTTAAGAAGGAGCTTGTAGTTTGTTTATCGCAAAAAATCGAGAAAGACGCATTACAAAATCAACAGTGAGTAAAATTGACAGAAAATTTATAGAATTTGATATGCCCTGTATATCAAAAACGTTTGCAAACCCTCTATTAACTTATCCTGTATAAAATAAATGGGTTAGTTACTAATTTAATATATTAACAATACAGGTTATTGACAAAAATAGGAATTAAAATCAAATTGAAAATGAAAAAAAAATGGCGAAAAACATTTTTTTCAAATCGAGACCACGTATTTCTGTAAACTTAATTTGAATTAAAAATTAGGACTACTTTGGGTCAGGTTGTATGTTCAGAGCATTTAATTTACTTTTACTTCGTCTGCTCTTAATGTTCGATTAATCTGTGGGTCTGGGGCGGCCTAGAATAACAAAACAGTGTTAAAAGATGCTTATATAAAATATATTGTTAATAACCACGCCCGCGCGCTTAAATAAATATAATTACGAATTTAATTATTATGTATTGGGGATGTCATAGAACATGCAATTTGTTTGGGAGTCTTAAAGTGTAAAGGCAAAAACAATCACTGCGCAGTTAAGAAGATTATAGAAAATATCAATTGGGCGTATCCAAATTCTCAATTCACAGAATTCGGCGCAAATATAATTACAATCCACTCGAATTGTCATCAATCTCGTACCTGGAAACAGGGTGACCCTACGGCAGCAACCCCAACAAACAGCATTCTGTGCATTTGAAAATTGGTGTTTTTAATAGACATAATTCCCACTAATGAAACGATTCAAATCAATGTTTATTCAGACAGCGAAATTACCAAAAATCCTGACAATTTAATGGATGTATATAATGTGCGTGTGTTATAAAATAACGCCGGTCGGGCCCAATATTTTTATCAAGAATATCGGAATGGTCAGATACCCTTTTCTTAATAAAATTTTTCTAGTGTTAAAAACTTTAATGCCGCTTTTACGTGAAGGTTATTTAAAAAACAATCGTCCTTCATTTTCAGCCGACTTGTAACTGTTTGATTTATCTGGTATATAACACTCCAATTACAAGCAATTTTAATTGCTATTTTTCCAACATCCCGTATACTTAGGATTCGAAATTAGTAACTAAATCATTTTCTACATGGTAAGTCAATAGGGTATTTAATTTAATATCTTATTATTTAGTTTGAATATCTCAGAAACGGTGAAATTTTATACACGAAATATGTCTAGAATTCCATTTAAAATAACAAAGTTGACACCCGTTGCCGGTATAACCGATATGCCGGATTTCTCCTACCCATATTAGTTTAATTCATATAACTATTAATATTTTGGAATATTCAATTAATTAGACAATGATTAAAATGAATAAAAACTAAAAATTTAGATTTTCACGAAATTATATATTATGACATGACAATTGTTTCGACAACACCGTGTCTTTATCAAAACCAGATTTTGATAAAGACAGGGTGTTGTCGAAACAATTGTCATGTCATAATATATAATTTCATGAAAATCTGAACTTTTAGTTCTTATTTATTTTGATAAATGGATTTCCATCAAGTAAAAGCCACCTCAGTTGAAGACAATGATTACCCTAAATCTACATAAATTGCATAAAAAAAGAGATGAAAGCAATTATAAAACTAGTTCACTATAAAATAATACATAACAACTAATTCTAAATTATTAGATAATATAATAGGCCTACTATGGTAATGCGCCTCAGGCGCCCACTAACCTGCACTTGGCGCCATTTTCTTTCTAGACAGTGATTTTCACACAACTCCCAGAACATTTAACGAAATTCAGACATATTTTGGTAAAATACTGCCGCAAGAATGCCGCAAGGTCATTGGTTAAAAACGAGATCTTAAAGCTCGGGCATGGGCATGTTGAATGAACATTCTCAATTTTTTACTACTATAGTTTTACTTTACTACTTATAGTTTTCCTATAACTGATCGACGAAGTTCCCGGTAGTATAATAAGTATAATTTTTCTGCGACCATTATTTTTTGGTTACATTTTTGCAAAACAGCACGACTACATTCATTGACTGATGTGTGCGTGACCAGTGTTGAGATTGGTCAATTATGCATTTGTGATGTCCAATTCACCTATTACTCTAATCAAGGAATACCCGAATACGATACTAAGCCATTCGGGGAATCCCAATAATAATATAGACTCTATTATACTCCAAATTTTAATAAATAAATATAAATTTCGTGGTATTTTTAAAATTATTTCAGTCAATTGACACAAAAAAAATAGACCAAATTAATTCCACAACCCTAGACGTGATCCTCAAAACTGACAAATGTTTACCGAAACATCTATCGTTCCAAAACCCATGACTAACGTACCGAAAATGACTCGCGACCTTGGGCAACGAAGCTGACGACTTAAATTGACACCGTCCACATCTAACCTATTACCATTATGATATCGAAAATAAATATTTAAATTTGTTTTATTTACTATTAGTATTTTCCCCATTATCAAGCTTTTTTTTAGGAAAACGTATAGAAATGAGATCATTTTTGTTTTAAATAGCAATAACAAGAAAAAATTATAATTTAATTGATATAAAACTGTCAAATATTGATTTTCAAACTGACAGCAATTCAGCGGAGTGCTCGATTGTTCTTTTTAGCCAGGTTTCGTAGTCGCATCATTCTTACAATACAAAAAACGTTTTATTGCTAATATTTTGAAATTTACAACTTTGTCTAATAAGCTACCTTATACAAAGGCACCCATTTTTTAATGCCAAATAAGATAAAGTTATATGGGGTATTTCCACTTGACTTTTAGCGATTTTTTAATATAAATTTTTAACTAAACGCTTAGAATATTTTAAGATCGCGAGTTTGCTAACAATATTTGCCAAACCAATTTCCCTTTACGGTTGGAGTGCGGGCTGAGATAAAGACGTCGTGGACGAACGGCTTTATCCAGGTCTAATTGTGATGCAATGATTACAGGATGATTACCGTCGTCTCTCTAAACCCGTTCCCGTCCTTTGTGTTACGTCACTATTCGCTCGAATCGGCAATGGTGCAACCAGCCTTTAATGCAGAGTCAACGGGGTTTATGCTGGCGGATCGTTTTTGCTTATCCACACACACTCACACACAAGAGCGGGGTTGACTGTTCCCGTGGCTCGAGGTTACGCATATACCATCAGCTTAAAGGTTCTTGTTTTTGTTTTCTAATCAAACTCAAAACCAACTAGATGGGGTTGGAGTCGAACGGTGAACAAGACGAGGTCGTAGAGAAATTAATAAAAAGATGAACACGATCCAGCGAATATATATATATATATATATATATATATATATATATATATATATATATATATATATATATATATATATATATATATATATATATATATATATATATATATATATATATATATATATATATATATATATATATATATATATATATATATATATATATATATATATATTCTCACGTATTGATTCACGGATGGAAAAATGTGATGACACTATACTCCGGGATATCATCCGTTCGCTCGTTGAACTCCGACTGGAATCCTGCATCCGACTGGAATCCTGCAAATCCTGCATCCGACTGGAATCCTGCAGACGTTTCGCCAAAATCTCACTTGGCATCTTCAATGCTCGCGCTCCGAAAACACTTCGAACACTGGGAGGTTATCGGCGGTGCGTGCGGTATTTATACTCTACGCCGGAGATGGTAACGGTGCTGCTTGTGCGTGGGGGGAGGTGGCTCCGCCCCCTGAATTGTCGCGTTGTTAATTTCGCCCGATCGTAGTTGCGATGTCAACGGGGACATCGCAACTACGATCGGGCGAAATTAACAACGCGACAATTCAGGGGGCGGAGCCACCTCCCCCCACGCACAAGCAGCACCGTTACCATCTCCGGCGTAGAGTATAAATACCGCACGCACCGCCGATAACCTCCCAGTGTTCGAAGTGTTTTCGGAGCGCGAGCATTGAAGATGCCAAGTGAGATTTTGGCGAAACGTCTGCAGGATTCCAGTCGGATGCAGGATTTGCAGGATTCCAGTCGGATGCAGGATTCCAGTCGGAGTTCAACGAGCGAACGGATGATATCCCGGAGTATAGTGTCATCATATATATATATATATATATATATATATATATATATATATATATATATATATATATATATATATATATATATATATATATATATATATATATATATATATATATATATATATATATATATATATATATATATAATGGCGAAATAAATAACAGTTTAATTCTCATCTATTGTCAATACACACAATATTAATATTTAGTTCTTAAAAACATATAACGTAAAAGTAGATATTTTAAGTGCTATTTTAGTGACGTTATAAGACGCCCCTTTAACGTCATTTAGCAAAAATTCTTTACATTTGACTCATGTCTATTTTTCTATCTCAATTTTATTCGTGGCAACCCGCGCATTGATACAGAAAACCGCACTTACCGAATATCAGCAGGGTGACGTCGGACACTGCCAAGTTAAACAGGTAGTAGTTGGTGGCAGAATGAAGTGTGGGCTGCTTAAAGATCACGATGCATACCGCTATATTTCCGAGTAAACCCGTGATGAATATGATCACGTTGATAACGGTAATAAAAATGGCAATAGGCAACTCCTGCGTCTGGGGTCCGTAGAAACACGAGATGTACGTCCAGGGGTTGTCGAATACGTTTTCCTCCGATTCGTTGACCACGCGTTCGCCACACTCGATATTTTCTGCTTTGTAAATGGAATCCATCTGGAAGTCCTATAAAGAAAAGCGTTCAACTAGATTCATTCAGTTATAAAATGTTTATAGGAGAAAATTGTGAAAAATTGTGTCAAATAAATGCAAACAGGACAAATGCTGCAAAAGAAGCTACAAGCAATAATTTTCCTGCTTTTCATAAGTTAACCTAAGCCAAACTAAAGCTTTAATCAATACAGACTAATAAATGGCAGATATTTAATTAACTTAATTTTTAATAAATTGAACTTCTTAAACACAATTTTGCGAAATTTTGGAATATTTTGTCGAACAGCAATTAAAATATTTTATATTTCGTTCCCCTTTATAACTATACTTAATAAGATAATGTACATATTATTTAATTTTATTAAAAAAAAAGAAAAATTTTATGTCCCCTATTGTTTTTCAACCATTTTGTTTATAATGTTTGGTTGTAAATATAACTTACTTGTTAAAAAATTAGTTATTGAAAATGGATTTTTTTGAAATTTAGGACGCTTTTCTAACACTATGGAATAATTTACATTATTTGCAACTCTTATCTTTTGTTATCATTTCTGTTTATTACGGTCGTTATAATATTTTTTTACGGGATTTCGAAGTCACCTCCATAATTATCGTGCATTTCTGTTATTTGCGTTTGTGCTAGATGCAAGATTTGCCGAAAAAAAATCAGTTCACGTGCTTCTAAATGACACATTTTGCCCATTCGTTGTGAATTTGATATAAAAATACGAATTCATAATAAGTTTTGCCCCAAAATTTGTTATTATTATATTGATGTAAAATGCCATACCAGTTTCTATCTAAACATTTCACATATAATTGTAACAAAAACTAACGTAAAATTAAATTCTATAATTCTTCCCAATCTCATTGCAATTGTTTTTAAATGACTTTGATTTTTTATCACTTGATATTAAGTTTTATAATGTCATTGCAAACCTGCGTTATTATAAATTTTTATGTAATTTTAGCTGTAAATAATTTTCATAGCAATTTTTTTAATAAAAACATTTGTATGGAAATTCGGATAGAAGTCATTTTTTATTAAAATATAATTAATTAATATATTTTTAACATGTGATATTATAATTTTATAAGTGATTTTTGCTCAAAATAATTTTCATAAAAAAATATGGGTGTGTTTCTCATGCGACATATTATCATATTATTCCAATATTAAGAAAAAAAACGCAACAAAAACAATGAAAAAACAAATTCCAGGCCATATTAATGAAAGAACGTATTATATTTCCACCGTCAAACAATCAAATGGGATAAAAATTCGTGGAATCCCGAGTGGAACCTGAAATCAGAAATGCTCGTCAAAAAGTTGTTTACTGTTGAAATCGCTTTAATTTTTTTCAGCGTTGTTCACTGACATAAAACAAACGGCTTGATTACAGCGTAATCGCCCGAAGCAAGCCCACTAATTAATTACAAACAACTTTCAATCTCGAAGTTCTCTTGTTTTGCAGGCGCATTGTATTTTCGACTACGTTACATTTAAGAGACCACTCAGGGCATTCATCAAACGCCCAAATTGTAGAAGCCGTCATAGAAATTATATACAAATGAAAAACCGCCCGCCTCGGCACCCTTTTCACATGTTTTACAATGTGGGTGGGGATTAAAGCGGGTCCAGGCAATATATTCGTCTGAACCACAGATTGAATGGATTTGAATACAACGTCGTGTTCTGTAAAAAATTGTCCAGCGCATTTATACGCAAATCGTAAAAATCAGCAACGTCAAAGCGTCAAGAAAATGCCAAAATGTCAAACTGTGTGCCCAAAATCTCAAAACTTTTAAGATCATTAACGTGGTGTAACGGTGACAATTTACCAATATACTTATTAGTGCTGATTCTTCTAAATTGCCAGAAATGATTAACATTAACTAATTAAAAATCGTTAACGCAAGCGGAGAATGAAACAACCATAGGTGAAAATGTTTTTGTCAAAAGAATGCTCAGATGCTTTGTCTAAAAAAAATAAATAAGGACTAAAGGTTCAGATCTTCAAGAAATTATATTTTTTTACATGGCAATTGTTTCGACGACACCATGTTTTTATCAAATGTAATATTTACAAACTACCTGCTACTATATATACCGAAAAATGACCGTAAAACCTTAATTAATGTTGTTGCGAGAATTTAAGTTCAATAAAGGAGAGGTATTTAAATCTAATTGATCGTTAAGCATTTTACGTATTCATGCATGTTTAGATGTGACTTAGGATGGCGTTTCCAGGTATAATATCATTGGTTTTGTTAATGAATAAGCAGTCGGTATTTGACCTTAGAACGGGGCGTAGAAATTAAAATGAGTGGGCCGAGGAATATGCAATTGTGGCTACTGTCGAGACATTCCACAAACCGACGTCTAAGGGCTACTACAATTTAAGGCAAAGGGTTCGAAACTTTGGGACAATAGTTGAACATTTCTTGCAGTGCTATCCATCTTCCGCCGCAGCAGTTTCGTTACGATTTAATTAATTCCAATACCAATGGTACGGAGAAGCTATCCTTTATCGGCAAATTGCCAAACGTGTGTTCCCACTATATAGCTATTAGAGATACAGAGGCCCTGCGTAAGGCTGGTGATACTTTACTTATGAAGCAACCATTGAAAAAAAATTGAGAAGATTAATGTAAAACGTACCGAAAACATCCGATAGCTTCTAAGCCCGTTACTCATGAATTAGTACAGGAAACGCCCAAAGTGCCTCGCTTTTGGCTGACAACTATTTTGTTGCCGAAATAAAATATATGAGTTTATGTGAACTGTTGCCGACAGTTCCCTGGAAATATACAATGCACTTGTTCAAACTTGCCGCTGCGCGAGAATGATTGTTAATTTGCCAAGTCAATTGCTTCTTGGTCATCAGTAGTAGATGTTTTTTTGTTAAAATATCATTTCTGTTATTATGTCCGGGGGGAGGCCCTAGTTCATGCCAATAACCGTACCAAATAGGCAAATCAACAGAATTGGCATTCAATAACCTAGTCGAGATAATGAGCTAGTCTCTGGAGAAAAAAAGATCACCTTGCCTGCATCCCTAGAGATAGAGGGACCATTAAACTAAGGGATACCGGACTGGCTTTATGAAGCAGCATAAGCCCGAGGGATCAAGCCAATTTTATGCAAATGGATATCGAGTATGTTGCAAATCAGAAGCATCACGACGTCCGCAGAGGAGGAGGTGGTCAGCTTCAGGACCGCCAGGGGTTATCCACAAGGCGGGGGCTATTCCCCGACGGTTCTATATGCATATGCAGATGACGTGGTCACCAATACTATAAACAACTGATGCTGCAGGAAAAGCATGTAAAAGTCGGTAGTAGCGAAATTTGGTACCTCTCTCATTACTGGAAATTATTTTCTACAAATTGTCAAAACTCCTGATGTCCATTCGGAAGTAATTGAATAATTTTATTCTTTATTCAATTCTTCAAACATTTCATGAAATTGACCACTGAAAAGTCGTCGGATTAAAATCGGATGAATCTAAAATCGCTTTCGATGTCATTTTCCACCAACAAATCAATGACGAGCTAGAAGGTGTGGGAAGAACAAACACATTTTAATTTCAATATTGAGAAAATAGTATGTTCTTTTTTACTTTGTTAAACGCCTGTATAATTTTCTATCAAAATACATCCAGCACTAAGTTTAACAAAGTAATATTATCCCTTACTGGAAATAAACAAACAAACTGCACTCCAGGAGCGACGTGCAAATATTATATTTTAGTGTGGCCAATTGAAACCCGACCTGACATGCGCGGAGTGCTTTTCTTCGTCGGTCCAATTTCAGCTGTCGCAAGTTAGCAAAGCGCGGAAATAGGACGACTCCTCCTCAATTATTTCAAACCTCGTTTCCTCGGGGGACTCAATTTGTCATAGTTTTCAAATTCTCTGCTACTTTCTCTGTTAGTTGAGTCAGAACCACATCCGACCTGTTTTCACTGTACATTTACGTTATAATACCTGAATTTGAGTACCGAAGCAATTAGGAAATTAGTCTCTATACATGGGTATCCGTCCGCGTTCACTTTAAAACAATTTTTCCAACGAGATGTGCCTGAGACGTGGTAGGGATCGAAAAGATAAAGTGTACACTTCAATAATTACATTCTTTTATTTTGCAACGGGATTTAAGGCAAGGTTCGCAGTTGAAAAAAAGGTTCTTTATCGAATTGCATTAAAGACGTTGTTGTTCTTCATACCGCCCGCATGGATTCTCTTGATAACAAAAACTTATTTGAAAGCATTCCTACATCAGACTGCATTTCACTAATTATGAAACTGCACATTTATGCAACGCTTCCGAATATGGTCTTTAGAGACTTACCGCAACTGCTTGATTTTGCTTTAAAACAGATTTTTTTTCAATTCAACAATAGCTTCTTCAGACAAAAAGAGCAATTGGAGATTGGATGGTCTCCATTTTTGATGTGAGGTTTTTATTTTCTAAAAAAGGTTAGTATATGATATCTTCATTCTCTGAGATTGTCCAGCCTCGCTTTTTTGGATTTGTTACTAATCAGGAATAAGAGCAAAACTATTCAGTTTGATTCAAATATTCCCTTAAACCATAAATTGCTAGTTTTCTCTCTTTTTTATAGGCTGTTCAATATCCCTGTATAGAAAATCTTTTAATAAAAAATTATTGACCATGAAATCTATTGCTGTTAATAATTTATTCCATTACACTGTGATAATAAAATATATGACAGATTCGGTGATATATCCGCACAGATAGAAAGAATCTTACAACATTCTTTGTTCGTTTGAGACAATCAACACTTTCATATGTCATCTCGTTAAGACCAAGGACAGGTTGCCCCATTGTTGTCTAATGGTGTATATGAGCTAAAGTGTGCATAATGTGTGCCGGTAAAAAAAATTCATAAAGGATCAAAGGACATAAACATCAATTCTTAAAATACAACAGTACTGATGTAACAACAACGAAGTCAACTTTTGATAATCCTTTAATATCAGAGAGC